AGCTATGAGAATTAGCTACATACTGCAAACACCCGTCTTGCAGTAACCTCTGGCATTTACCTAAGAAGAAAGTTGAGAAAGGATGAGAAGGTAGGTAGAATGGAAACAGGATCCTTAGGGAGGAAGCAAAATGACTGTTTTTCCAGGGGATTGCAACCACTGAGATGAACTAAAGTGTATGATTTGTTGTAAACCTTCACTCACTTTACAATAAAAACTTTAAAAAGAAGGAAAATAACCATTGAACAAAAGGCCACATATTGCATTATTCTATTTCTCTAACATGTTCAGCATAGGCAAAACAGAAGAAGTACTGGTGTAGTACTATAGGACTGCAAAGTCAGTTTGAATCACAAGGCTGCTGGTTCAAACTCATCAGCCACTTCTTGGAAACCCTACACAGGGTCACTATGAGTTGGAAGGGACAACAATAGAGACAAGGTAATTTCACCATTGCCAAGGGCTAGGGACTGAGAACAGTGAGAAGTGACAACTATTGGGTGCAAAATTTTTTTGAGAAAATGAGAATATTCTGAGATTATATAGTGGTGGTGATGGCACAACTTTGTAAATTTACTAAAAATCAATGAATTATATACACTTTAAATGGTGAATTTTGTTGTATAGAACTTATATCTTAAAATAATAATTATAAAGAAGCATATTTAAGATCACTCCAAAGTAAACAACAACAACAACACCTAGGACCCTTCGATATGCTCTCTACAAGAGACACATCAAAAAGATGGAGGCAGCCTAAATGACCATCGACAGAAGGATGGTTAAACAAAACCTTCATGCATTCACACAGTGTAAAGCTATGCAAAGTTGAAGAGTAATGATGAATCTACAAATTAAATCACAACATGGATGAACCTGGAGGACATTATGCTGAGTGAAATTGGTCAGTCACAAAAGGCCAAATATTGTACGAGACCAACGCTGTAAAAAGTTAAAAGGTTTTCTTGATAAAAGAAAATCAATCTCTGATGGTTACAGGAAGGGCAGGGATGAGGAGGGAAAATTGTTCATGGGCTAGAGGGTAGACACATATTTACATGTGTGATAGGACAAGTGATAAACAACAAGAGGGAGACTAACAGAGTAAAGCTGGTGACACGGAGGAATGCAAGAGTTAAACTGAACAGAGGTAAAAACTGTTAACTGATAGTACATGGAGGGGATTGCAATCATTGTAAAGAAGCAAAGTATATGATTTATTGAATGTAAAACTGATTATCTGGTCTGTAAACCTTCACTCAGTTCACAGTAAAAAGTTAAAAAACAAAAAAGCAAACCTCTGACAGATCTGTTGTTGATGAGGAAGTGCCTTGGAGTCGCTTACGACTCACAGTGACTGTATCGGGTTTCCAAAACTAAATACTTGTGGGAGCAGAAAGCCTCATTTTCTATGTCCGATGGACCTAGGAGTTGATAATTTTTCAAAATGTTTTTTAGACCACTTACGTTACTTTTTTCAACGTATTAGGAGAGACCCCAGTTGCTTTTTCTCTGGTACCATAGTCAGTTAGAAGGTGGGCTGATAAGCAAAAGGGCAGCAGTTTGAAACAGCAGTTTTGCAGTTCTGGAAACCCTCCACAGGATGGCGGTGAGCTAGAACTGACTCCCAGGCACCGAATCTCCTGCTACCACCCACCGAATGATCTTCTTAGTACCACAATGATCTTTTTAGGATTCTGAAATCGTTCTACTATTTTTGTGTTAATGTCATAATTAAAAAAAAGAGGCCCTCAGAAGACCTGGGTTTGCTCCTAATTAGATACATGAGGTTTGTTACGATAGTTCACCTTTCTGGACTTCATTTTATTGTCGTTTATATAATAAGTACTAAGTAGCCCTGAAGCATTTGTTTATTCTAAATAAACGCAATAGAATTCATGATCATACTCTTCTATGCCCTTGTTACCAATTTTTATTTGAGTTTATAGATCTGGCTATCAGTTTTCTAATTTGAAAATACTAACTGCCTCATTCCCCCTGTATCCAACTTAAAAGTTATTTTCGTATTTCCTTTGATCATGTAAATTGCACATCTCTACTCTTTCTCGGGAGTCCTGGTGTGGCGCTGAGGGTTAATGCGCCAGACTGCAAAGCCGTTTGAACTGCAAGGTTGGCTGTTCAAGCTCACCAGCTGCTCCTTGGAAACCCTATACAGGGTCACTATGGGTCGGAACCGACTCAACAGCCTTTAAAACAGCTCTTTCTCTAAGAATCCCTGGTTGTGTGGTGGGCTACAAGTTGGGCTTTAAATTACAAGGTCAGCTCTTGAAATCTACCAGCCACTCTATGGAAGAAAGATGGGGCTTTCTGCTCCCATAGAAATTTACAGTCTCGGAAACCCTATGCAGGGTTGCTAAGTACCGGGAACTGCCAGAAGAATAAACCAATGTGTTGGAATAAGTACAGCAAGAATGCTCTTTAGAATCCAGGATGGTAAGCCTTTGTCTCATACATGTTATCAAGAAGGACTAGTCCCTGGAGAAGGACATCATGCTAGGTAAAGTGGAGGGTAAGCGAAAAGGAGGAAGACCCCGAATGAGATGGATTGGCACAGTAGCAGCAACAATGGTGTCAAGTGTATCAATGATTGTGAGGCTGGCACAGGACTGGGCAGTGATTTCTTCTGTTGTACATCCAGTCGTTATGAGTCGGAACCGACTTGACCACACCTAAAAGCAACAACAACATGAGTCCAAACTGACTCCATGGCACACATCCACCACCACCACTCTGTTGACATCTTTATTAAGACATGGTTGATGCAAACAGCACTAAATACCAAAGGTGTGAGTAGATGTGCTATGAGCTTATAGAAACGTAGGGTCATATTTTCTTTTATTTCTGTAACTTGTTTTTAAATGCCAGTATTTCTAGGGCTTTTTTGTCATAACATTTCAAAATCTCTTTAAGGCCAACCCTTTGCTTCTGGACTAGACTATCCTTAAGCACTTTACTATTCAATATCTTCTGGGACAGAAATTTAACAACCTGTGTCTCACCTTAAGGAAGTTCTTATAGCTAACATAAATTTTGCTTTCTGTAATTTAAGTTGAATTTCTTTTTGTTTTTTCTTTTCTCTGTGGAGATGGGAACAGCCGCAAACTGGAAATGATGCTTTGTTATGAGGACCAGCACTGAAAACTGTGGAAAGGTCATTTGCAGTCTAGCTTCATTTTTATTTTCACTTTTATCTTACAGCTTTCTGACTTTCATTTCAATATTCACGGTCTCAGGAGATGCTATTCTTTAAAACCCAAATGAAATAACAGTTACATATCTAATATTAATGTTCATTATATATATGCTATTTAGAACCAAATGAATTACTAAAAATAAAAAATGAGCTCTCAAAAGCCATTTGAGAGCTTAAGCGGATTTGTGTTTTATTTGATGTAATATGTGGACTGTAGTCATGGGACTTTGTTTTTTCCTGTGGTGTGTAGATTTATCCTATTAGTCATGGTTGTATCCATTTCTTTCTTATAAATTGTAAGAAGGGAAGCTGGTTCTTTAAAATAAACTACCTTGAAGCATATTTCAGTGTGTGTAGTCAAAAACCATGTCTCTGGTCAGTGCACTTTGTTTGACTGCTAAGGTAAAGGTGGTTGGTTTGAACTCACCCTGTGGTCCCATGGGAAAAAAGGCCTGTGATCAATCAGCTTCTATTAAGATTACAGCCAAGAAAACCCTATGGAGAAATTCTGTTCTGTAACCGGGGTTGCCGTGAGTTGGAATCGACTCAGTGACAACCAACATCAGTCAAAAACTTAAGTACAAAAGCTAATAACTGCTAAGTATTAGAGTGGAAAAAGTGAACACATTCTCTATTCTGTTCTAAATTAGCCTATACTCTTTAATTGTGGTAAGACATTATAAAATTATCATCACAAAGCTCTTAAGAGATAGTAATACAAGAGAATGCATGTAAGAAATTTTACTTTGAATTTTAAAGATTAATACAAAAATGTTTTATACTATACAGCTTGGTTCTATTAACTATAGTTCCCTAAAATGTTTAAGTGTTTCATTCGGATTTCAATTTTTTTTTTTCTTTTACTTTGAAGGTTCAACAATTTTCTGAGAAATCTTTCCTGTTACAGCTTTTGAAAACTCATGAAAATGCGTTAGAAAGACAATGCAGTGAAATTATGAACCAAAGAAGTATGTTTCTTCAAACTTTTGTAAGTTGACAGCTACTTACAAAAATCAATTTCACTGATTTGTCAAAAGTATTTAACTATACTTATGTGTACTTTTAGAAAATTATCCATATGCATATTAGCATATAGCCCTGTTCCAATGTGGAAAAGTATTAAGATCTATTTGAAATCACCTGGCATAGTAGTAGAGTTAGAGCTCTGTTGACTGGGATGCAATATAGAAGTTATTCATAATTGTAATAAGTATAAAAGAAACAGTGAAACTGACTTGAGTTTCTCAGGCTTTGAGACCTTAGTTTTTAATGCTTTTCAAAGGCAGAGAGATTCACACTTATGACATATTTATGGGTGGGGTAAGAGGATAGAATTTTTTTTCAATCTTTTTACCTTATGTTAGAGCAACAGAAGGAATAGTTTTAAATGACATTGTCACTTCCTGAATATGACTTATAATTAATTGGCATTTCTTAAAAAGTACAATAATATTTTGGTGATGGCTTTAGTTTTGATTAATATCAGTAGAGGAGTAAAGCATTTTTGTAATAATAATAGGAAGTATAATTTTATTCTTTGGTTCATTTCAAATTATTGCATTTTAAATCACTAAAGAAAAATACTGTTTGTATCTAATATCTATACATGTACTTTCATTTCTGTTTTCCAGGAGGCTACAAAGAAAAAAGCAGAAGACGAGGAGGAAAAATTTATTAAGGAAATTACAGACTTCAATAATAAATATGAAATAACAAAGAATAGAGAGCTTTTGATGAAAGAAAATATCAAGATCGAAGTATCTGACTTAGAAAACCAGGCAAACATTTTGCAAAAGGGTATGATTACACCTGACTTATCTGGCATTAATGAGAAATCATTTATTTTTAATCAATTAATATTCCATAAATTTAACTCTTCAAAAGCAGATTGATATATATTGCATTAGCAATTCTTTTCTTTTTATCTTATTTGTTCAAATAGATATGTATCTTTTGATTTGAACAGCCTCACACTTTTTAAATATAACCAAACATTCAGCCATTCACTCATTAAACATCTGCAAAACTGGGTGGGGACCATGTGTGACTTCCTCTGGCTTCACAAGCAGAAGGAGAAACAAACTCAAAACCAGCCTAAGGCAGATACCTATGATGTGGAGGTCAGATAAGCTGCCACCCTAAAACCTTGCTTACCCTATTTTGGCACCAAGCTTCCCTCCCAAAGCATCCTCTGCTTCACATCTGGGTTCAATAGTCCATTGTAGTGGCCACAGAGAACTCATAACAATACTCATGATTATTGGAGTTATTAAGGAAGTGATGGGGTTACAATTCAGAATCAAAAAGAACTGAGGATGCAACAGTTTCAAATCAGGAATGCCTTGCTCTTGTCTTGGGCTTCTCAGCCATGTGTCCCCTTAGTCTCTGCCCTGGTCAGGTAAATGTTATAAAACTCCTTTAGCCATTAGTAAATGTCCAAAGAGCCCATTTTTGAAGCCAGCCATGTACCCATAGGTACTCAGCTGCTCTGTCTCTCCGTGTCCCCACTTCTGCCCCCGCCTCTGCTGTCATTGCTTTTCTAGGTAGGGATCTCGTGCTCCACTCATGCTTTTCTTTCTTGATGGTCCTGGGATCATCTGTTCCTGCTTCTGATATGACTCCTTTTAAACCTAGCAGGATGGTAAAACTAAGCAATTCAAGCATTAGAGCACTACACACCCTATTTGCATGGTTCCACCCAGTCATTTGATGAGAATTAAAAACACCATGGATAGAAAAAACATATCAAGTGAATTCAAGGTACAACAACATCTATTATGATGTATGATAGACGCTTTGTGGGTCCCAGAAATATAAAAATATAAAAAGGCTATGTATAAGCAGAGCTTCACAGTGCAATGTGATAGAAACTCAAAGTGATACTTCAAGAGATGTTTAGGAAAAATGATGGAACTTTGGTCACTGGGTTTGGACAGAAATAGGGAAAGTCAAGATTTGATCTCGGTCTTTAAACTTTTGAGATTAAGGAGAATGATGGTACTAGGAGGAAAATCAGTGATGGGGTGTTGTTAGGTACCATCAAGTCGATACTGGCTCATAGGGACCCTGTGCACAACAAAACAAAGCACTGCCTAATCCTGAGCCAACCTCACAGTCATTTCTACGTTTGAGCCATGATGCTGCTACTGTGGCAATCCAACCTTGTAGTTCAAACAGCTTTGCAGTCTGGCGCATGAACCCACAGTGCCACACCAGGACTCCTTTTAATCATTGTTGTTGTTAGGTGCCATCAAGTTGGTACCGGCCCATAGCAACCTTATGCACAGCAGAATGAAACACTGCCCCATCCTGGGTCAATCTCACTACTGTTGCCATGCTTGAGTCCATTGATGCTGCCACTTGGCCAATCCATCTCGTTGGGGATCTTACTCTTTTTCTCTGACCCTCCACCTTACCAAACTTGATATTCTTCTCCAGCAACTGGTCCCTCCTGGCAATATGTCCAAAGTATGAGAGATGAAGTTTGGCCATCCTGGTCTCCAAGGAGCACTCTGGCTGCACTTCTTCCAAAACAGATCTATGGGTTCTTTTGGCAGTCCATGGCACTTTCAGTATTCTCCTCCAACCCCATAACTCAAAAGCATCGATTCTTCTACGGTCTTCCTTATTCA